GATCCAAGAGTGAGCAACGGGACACCTAGCAGTGCAGACCAGGGACTGACTCTCCTCCAGGCAGGCAGGTGAGGACCTGGGGATGGGAACAGGGGAGGGACCAGCCGGTGAGGGTAGGTCCGCGTCCCAGGCCCATCTGCCTGGGAGGGAGTCATCTCTCCCGGCATTAGCCAGGGCTTAGTGACCAAGGAAAAGGGCACCAAGGGGATTGAGGCCTCTGGGGGGCAAAAATGCTGCAAGCGTGGACGAGGGGTGGGCATCTGTGGGGCTGCTAGGCCCTGAGTCGGCCCACACTAAACTCCCAGATAATTCCCCACCCTCACGCGCTGGAGAAGGCAGGTGCTGTTTAAGGGGGTGGGTGATAATAACTTGGTGCTTTTCAGCCCAAAAAAGGTGAACCTCTTGGGAAGAAAGCACATGAATTGTCATTGGCAAGGACTCCAGGAGGCTCTGCCCCACCCGCAAAGCCCCCTGACTTGCCAGGAGTGACCCCCGATCACTCTGACTAGGGTAACCCCAGCTGCGGGAGACCTACCACCGGGGCTGGGTGGACTGAGAAGTGGAGAACCAGCCACGGAGGTGTCGCCAAGAGGGGAAGCTACTGGGGGGTTGGGGACGGCGTGCCAAAGGCCTGGAGGAGAAATCCCGGCACTCTGGAAGGCAGAGGCAGGCAAATCTGAGCCCAGCCTGAGTAACTTAGCAAGACACTATCTCAAAATTTAAAAAATAAAAAATGAAAACAGCTGGAGAGGTAACAGTGCAGAGGTCCCAAGTTGAATCCCCAGTACAGAGGACAGAGATCTGGAAAGCTAGGGATTGTGGAAAAGGCTGTGGTTCGAGGAGCAGATGAACAGGTGGCCAAATGGGGAATGATGGAACAGTTGAGGCAGAGCCATGGATGCCACACTGCGAGCCCCGCCTCTGCCCATCGCCTGTGCTGCTTCCTGTCCGCTCTGCTCACCAGGGAGACTGTTTCCCAGCTTCGGCCTTGAAGGGGCTCCTAGAGACTGTCCCTTTGCGCAATCAAATGTCAACCCCAGCGGGCGGCCACACTTTCCAGGGCTCCGGTCCCTGGTTGGCTCTCAGCCTGGTGGGATCTGGGACCCAGATAAAAGGTGCCATGACCCTGCCGGAGTCAGGGGGGTGGCAGGGCAGGATGCTGAGCTGCTTTCCTTTATTTTTCTTTCTCAGTCCACAAAGGCCAGGCCTGTGACCTTGCCGTCCCTCCACTGCCCCTGCTGGATCCAGATATCCGGAATGGCCCGCTGGTGGTACTGCCTCCTCCAACTCCTGGTACCTAAGCTGTGGAAAAGAGATTTGGGGACTTCAGAGGGTTTCAAAGATGGTAGGGTTCCAAGTGGTCACCCTACATCATGAGGCCATGGCAAAGGTTGTGAAAGGAGAGCCTGGGCATAGAAACAGAGTAAAAGCACCCACAAGGTGCTACCCCTCTCACACTCACTCACCAGCTTTATTTTTCACAAGGCTGAATAGCTCAGGGAAGAGGAGTGACACTGACCCCAAAGCCTGCAGTTTCCATGGCAGCCCCCTGAGCACACAGTAGGCATTCAGTGATTGCACGAGGGGAGGCAGCACCTGGCCAAGCCCCACCTGTGTTCTGCTCTCAGATCCAAAGTCTCCCTGGCCCTTCCTCCGACTTCCCAACTGAATCGAGGAACCCTGGGGCCGCAGGTTGGTATGAAGGACCCCCCTCCTCCAATGCCAAGGAAGAGAAGAAATGAGGCTAAGTTCAGACCCCACAGTGGGAGGTGTGGACGGAAAGCTCCACTCGTGTCCATCTCATTCCCGTGGCACAGATCTGGAAAGGCTCTGGCAAGGGAGCAGGATTTACCAGGTCACAGAATATAAGGAGGGGCCAGGTCCGTCCAGACCCAAAAGACTCCCAGCGCTGTGTCCTTGGTTGGCCCTGCCTGCAGAAAGGTTGAAAGCCCACAAAATGTGCTCCCACACCCTCTTCTGCCCTCCAGACCCAGTGGACCCAGGAGAGGTGGTGGAGACCAAGGATGTGATTTGCAAGTTCCCAGGGCAGCGGCTCAGCTGGTGGGAAGCCCAAGAATCCTGCGAACAGCGCTTTGGCCACCTGGCCCTGGGGCCTCCCGATGAAGTTCTTGTTCCACAGCTGCGTGACGCAGTCTGGTTGGGCCAAAGAGAAACCATTCTGCGGAGACCCCCTCGGAGGCGTGAGTGGGGGCCTGGGGTGAGGCGGGGGCTCTGGGGCCCTTCAGAGACGGGAGCCCACGATGACAATCCTTGTGGAAAGCACTCAAAGTAACACTTCGCTGTAGCTCTAGGTTCCCTTGCCTGGACTGGAAGTAGGGGTTGTCCTTTGGGCAGGGAACCTAGTACCCTCGTTTCTTCTTTTCCCGAGGCGGGAGGCACCCCAAATCCCAGGAGGGGCACCACAGCTGCGGCAAATCGCATTCAGAAGCTGGGTGGGGGTGCCGCTAGG